GAGGAGAACATCTCGCAGAAGTTACTGCCCACATAGAGGACCGTGGCCCGTTCTAGAAGTCAAGGGCGGCGAAGATGGACCATCCTATACTATAGAACTCCCAGCACACCTCCCCACTTACCCAGTTTTCCATGCATCAAAGTTATTACCTTGTAAAACAAGTGATGAGTTTCCATCCCGTAGATCGATGATCCCACCGGATATGGATGGAAGATATGACATCGATGGTATAGTGGCTGAAGATGTCTTCAGAACTGGAGGTAGGGGTCGTCCGCAGAAACAGTACAAGGTTCATTTTAGTTATCAAGAACTGGAAGACGACCGCTGGTTTACGAGATCTGAACTTCTAGAGACAGCTCCCGATATAGTCCGGGCCTACGAGAGACAACAGCGAGGTAAAGGTCCTGCCTTGGACTGAAATTTTCTCGGAGGACCTCGAATTTAGGCCGGCGGGAGTGAAACGGTATTCACCAGTTCGCAGTAGCTGATGCAGATCCCAGGGCTCGATCCCTAGTTCCCCATCTTACCTGTATACAGTACCGGCGTCAACCCGTAGATTTGAACTTGCTACCTGTAGGACCGCCAGTGGTAGGTAGTTCTTCGTAGATCACAGGGTAGAAGGAATTCGAACTGTAGACCTGWAGGGTAGGAGTCTAGACAGTTTAGAGGTCGTAGCTGTAGACTCCCTGAAGGGTCAAGGTCGTAGCTGCTACTCACCTGAAAGGGCAAAGTCGTAGCTRCTACAGTACCGAACGGCCAAGTTAGAGGTTTCTAGAAGTGGCCTTTCGGAGTGAGCCTGCGTTAAGCAGAGGCAAGTGGTCAAGTGGTGGTAGCCCACCTAGTACAGTCAGCAGTCCCAGTCCATCCAGTCCGGTCCAGTCCAGCAAGTACCGCCTGGGACGGTGTGCACGATGGGCCAGGGGTACAGGGCAGACCAACGCAGCACAGAAGTATAAATCAAGAGGCTGCGCCCAGCCATTCATTCATTCCTGCGGAAGCCATGCGGAAGCGCTGCCTCAGCAGCTTGTGCGAGGAGGTCTGCAGAAGGCCCGAAGACGAAGTGGGCGAGAGTGACATACCGTAGCCATAGCAGTAGTGTAGTGGCGGCCATAGCTGCCATAGCTGTAGCTTAGGGGAAGAGTGTGTGTACTGAGTACCGCGTGTGGGACATCCAGGGTGATCCAGAGTGTGAACAGTGAGTGTTTGAGGCTCGCAGTGTCCATAGCCAGTGGAAGCGAACTTACATGGAAGACATATCTCTGTGTACTGTGTGGGCGCAAGTCGCCAGTTGTGTGCTGCTGTTCACGTGCATGGAAAGTGTGAATAAGTCAAGTCTGATTGCAGACCACTGAATACCAGTAAATTTAATGTGTTCCTCCATCTTCAGCCGAATAGAAGTCCCGTGGACCAAATACAGCTATAATGACAACGGGCGTTCTGGAGGGTAGTCCTGGTAGATTTTCCTATTCCAGTCATACTCAATCTCCACAGCGACTGCGATATGTGGTCTCGCCACACCACAGTCGGAACGAAAAAAGTACGAGTGCATCTGCACGCAGAGCATGGCAAGATGCATCCGTTACTATGAATAGCAACGAATGCATCTTACCACTTTCAGAGGAAGATGCAGTGGTTCTTTTTTCGCTTCGACTGTGGTGTGGCGAGGCCCATTGTTTTTTTTTTTTTAAAGCTTTGATTGCCTGATCCGGGGGCCAAGTCCCACTTACCCGAATGATCGATTTCTGAGTGCAGATTCGGAAGATCAACGACCAGAAATCAAGGATCAACGTACTAAGTGGGACTTGGCCCCGGGAGGAGCTTACCTTTAGAAAACAATGCTGTTCCTCTTCCAGATCACGGTGTGTGTTTATGGGCCTCGCTGCACTACTCTAGACTCTCGAAATATTTCGAGATTTCAGCTAGCGTTGTCAGAGAGGCGAGACTCTCGAAATACCCGCCTTCGCTGCACTTACTCTATAAGCTATCACACTAGGTGAACTCTCGAAATCCTGGGTGTCGTCCTACTCTACAGAAGAGCTTCACCACTGCGCTACGGGACAAAGTCTGGCCGCCGGGACAGGAGGTCTACTCTCGAATAACGAGCCTGTCGGCGGGCAACTCCCGAGGACACTTGCAAATTCAGTTTTTGCAGGCGGGGGACTCTCGACGTTTCGAGAGTTGTGATATAGAGTGCCCACTGACAGCTCTCGATCGGGTTTCAAGAGTTTCCCGATTGAGAGTAAGGGCCTCGCTGCACTACTCTAGACTCTCGAAATATTTCGAGAGTTTGGCTAGCGTTGTCAGAGAGGGGAGACTCTCGAAATACCTGCCTTCGCTGCACTTACACACTAGGTGAACTCTCGAAACCCTGGGCGTCGTCCTACTCTACAGAAGAGCTTCACCACTGCCCTACGGGACAAGTCTGGCCGCCGGGACAGGAGGTCCACTCTCGAAAAACAAGCCTGTCGGCGGGCAACTCCCGAGGACACTTGCAAATTCAGTTTGTGCAGGCAGGGGACTCTCGACGTTTCGAGAGTTCTGTTATAGTGTGGCTTCTGACACCTCTCGATCGGGTTTCGAGAGTTTCCCGATCGAGCGTAAGTGCAGCCATGACCCACTCTCGAAAATTTGAGAGTCTAGAGTAGTGCAGCGAGGCCCTAAGTGCAGCCATGACCCACTCTCGGAAATTCCAGAGTCTAGAGGAGTGCAGCGGGGCCCTATTACTGCCTCTGAGTGTGGGGTATGAGCTGAAGGATTTTTTTTTTTTTTTTGGAAAGTTGAACGTGGAAAAGAGGCCGGGGGCCAAGTCCCACTAGCAGTGTTGAGCTACCTTAACGCCTGAATCTGGACGCTTTTGCCGAGATGTGCAGAAATGGTGTTGAGTTTCCTGAGGTGCACGTCTCCACAAACACGTCCAGATTCGGGCGTTGAGGTAGCTCAACGCTGCTAGTGGGACTTGGCCCCGGGGACCTCACAATTCAACCCCCAGTTATCCTGGGGCCATTACCCAGTTTAGGCTCGGCTGAAAAACGGGTTCAGCGTCCCATCTGATCTCAAAATGCACCTTTCCAAAAAAAAGGATCAAACTTGAAGCTCAGAAAGAAGTCTGATGACTATGTCTAGTCTTAGGGCCTCCCTGCACTACTCTTGAAATGCAGAAATACAAAAATCATGTCCCTGTATCTTTCCATGTTCTAGCGGAAGATTCACTCTCGTTTTGCACCTTGGGAGAGTAGTGCAGCGAGGCCCTTACTCCTAGAAACATAAGAACACATTAATAACTTTAGGAGCAGACAAACCCATGACCTGCTACAATCAATACTACAAAAAAAAAACCTACAAAAAAAATAATTAAAAAAAAAAAAAAAAAAAAAAATCAATACTACATCTGCCCTAGGTTTAGGCTTATCTTATCCGTCTAGGCCGGTGTCCTCTTGCCATCTAATTTTTTGCGGTTTTGTGGTGAGCATCATCCCACCGGGGCTTCGTCATGGAGGGCGGCGAATCATCCGTAGGGGGTGTATGCAGAATTGAGGGAGGAGTTTACCCTAAATCGCGAGGAGGTGGGTGGGTTTCGCGGGGCCTTTTGGCCCCTGCCGCGCGGGAGGTGGGGTAATCCCCTGGGTAGCGAAAACGGCATCGTGGTGGGAGTTGATGTTTTTGAATGAGGAGAGTGGGGAGGTGCTATCTGCTTTGAATCGCAAGGAGGTGGGTGGGTTTTGTGGGGTCTCTGCCTGCAGATTGGGGGCCGCGGGTGGCAGAGCGGATTAGCAGGGGGTTGGTCGTAACTTTGGATGAAAAGTGGTCATCATCAAGCAACGCTGACCTTTGGTTCTTCTTTGTTCTTTTGATTGCCTTTGTGTACGTTTTCTTTTATGATCGGTGGAATTAGGGTTATTAATTAGGATAATTAGGATTTGTAACTTCGTTGAATTTTTAGGATAAGGGAATTGGAATTTTAGTGATGAGTTTAAATTAAAAAATAATAATAATAATAATAATGGGCCAGTTAGAAGTAGAAGTTACGATTTGTTGTAGACTTCTTACTTGCTTTCTTACTTTCTTACGGTTTGTTGTAGACTTCTTAGTTGCTTTCTTACTTTCTTCCTTTTTGGGACTCTGCGATTCCTGATATGGGCTTGGCCGGTGATGCCTCGCTCATAACCCGGAGCCCCCAGCATACATGTGAGGGACGCCGGGCCCGTTTCCCGGCTTGTATAATATGACTCTTCTTTTTGTGAAAAAAGAAAAAAAAAAAAAAAACCAACAGGAGAAGTCAAGCACTTGATTGTGGTCTAAAACGACCTGTTTCTCCAATCATGCTCAATCATCTTGGCTATGCGCTGAAGTTTTTTTTTTTTTTTTTTCGATTTATGCGTGTCATCCTTGTGCAGGGGCCATGCTAATCTTCTCTGTATCGTTCCAATTTTAATGGGTCCCGAAGGACTCTTTTTTTTGGGGGGGGGGATATGCGCTGAAGGGTATTTTTTTTTGGGATATGCGCTGAAGGATTGGGTGTGGGTGGCCGCTGAAGGGGGTTCATAGAAAATGCCGAAAGGAAAATAAAAAACGTAAAAGAAAACATAAACGAAAACAAGCCGAAAGTGGGCGCGCTGAGTACGTAGGTCGGAGGGACACACGTGTGACTTGCGTTCAGATTCATCCTAGAAAACCGACTGAATCTGACTGTCGAGTGCGTCCAGATTCATTCTGGAAATATGACGGCGTTCCGAAGTCACGGATCCAGTGGAAGAGGCGCTCAGCTGAGGGAGTGCGGAAAACTGCACGGTAAAGGAACGAAGAAGAAAAGTCCAAAAAAAAAAAAAAGAACTTCGCTGTGTTGCACATCCATGAGCAGATACACACGGAGGGAGAGAATATGAGAGATGGAGGCGGTGGGGTGGAGGTGGTGATGGTCGAGAGGGAGGTGGTCCCATGAGCGATGTGATGGTGGGGGCGAGAAGCATCGCGGGCATGAAACCGCTGGCGGTCGTGATCAGTGGGGGGGGGAAAGCTACAGCAGTTTGGGGTCCTGAACCTGTCATCTATGGATTGGCGGGAAGGAGGAACGCCCGGTCGCTCAGGTGTTGTTGTGGCGCAATGGAGACGACAGCGACCGGACGGTTCCATCAAGCAAGTCGTGGCCACATTGGCTCTTCCGTCAGACCGGGCGACCGCATGCTGCGGACCCGTCGGTCGCCGTGTCCAATGCAGACGGACGACCGGTCGTTCTGCTATCCCGACCGGCCGCTAGGTGGTTGGACGGGTGACAACGACCGCCGCAGAATGGTTGGGATCGGACGAAGGATCGCGACACGGTCGGCCGCCGGGACGTCGTGCTGGATGAGTTTTTTATGTCGTCTTGTGCCACGTGGCAATCTCTGCCTATCTCCGATCTCCTGGGATCGCCTGCACCCGCGTGGGCTTATCTGTTGTCGTCATCAAATGCCACGTGGCGCACCCACATCGGCAATGCTGCTGGAGCGAAGGCACGTGGCAGCTGCCGTACTTGGCTTGCGCGCGCAATGCCTGCGGCCACGATCTTCCCGCACATTTTTTGCTCATCATTTGTCTGTCGTGCCAGTCATGCCGCCGCCGGCTGCTGGACGCATGATTGGGCAATTCTGGAGAGCCGGCGGGAGGCGGAGACTGCCACGTAGAATGCAGGAAGCTACCGCAGCTTTAAGCGGAGACTGCCACGTGGGCAATTCTGGGATCGGCAGCATTAGCATGATGATCGTTGGTGGTCGGGGCCGTCGCATTGGACGGAGCCTGCCACTGCCACGTGGCGCCTTCTGTAGCGAAGATGAGAAAGGAGGTGTTTTTTTTTGCGGACGTGGCCGTCGGATCTGTCAGTTTCCCGCCATTTCCGCCGGCGACGGCCGATCTCGCGGCTACGGACCTGTTCGATTTCCCGCCAATTTTTGCGACTCGGTGGCATTTGCGCGGGAATATCTCGGAGCGGGAAGACGGACAAGGAACCGCTCTCTCGGCTATCGGGATGAAAAGAGATTTTCCAAGAGATTATCTAACAATGATTATTTTTATTATAATAATTATAATTATAATAGCAGTGCGGATCCGAAAAAGAGGCAGATTCATTGGATGGATCGCAAAGGACAAAAAGAGCGATTACCAAGAAGATGTCACGTCGATCAGTGGTCGCCGAGTGTGGGACAGCATTTGGCAGATTTCCCGCCAAATGACATTGTTCCCCATTTGGATTATCTGGCGGGAAAGACAGAGTGTATGCTTCAGGCGTTTTCGTGGCAGTCCTACCAGGGTGGGCGCGATGGCGAAGCATGGTACCAAGTGCTGGAGCGAATGGCAGACTACGTGGCAGACGCTGGAGTTACTCACATTCTCCTTCCTCCCTGCAGCCAGGCCAGGGACCCTCAAGGTAGGTAGGTGTTTTGTGTGTGTGTGTGTGTTTTTGTGTGTGTTTTTATGTGTGTGTGTGTTTTTGTGTGTTTTT